CTTACTCTAAATGCTTATTGCCTAATTATTCTCCTTTCCACTCAGCTCTTCTCAATACAATCCACCAATTTAATCTTAAGAGTTTTTATTATTCCTCCCTTCAGAGAAAAATGTTCAGTGGCTTACCACTGGTTAACAAAAACCTAACTCATCAAACTGTATTAATATTTAATGACTCATATAGAATATTTAAATTTAACATAATAAATCACTTTATCTATTAAAACCAGTATTATACAATTCTGCACTTCCTACCTAATTTCATCCTACCTATCTAAATGTATTTCCCACAAACTCCAGTGCAAATTTTCTGCTCAGTCCAGGTGTCTTTTCGCATAAATAAAATGTAGTCCCGATGCCAAGAATTTACTTAGACTCCAACACATCCTGTATGCTCATTTTGAAATCCTATCTTCACTTTTCTCTGTCTCTCTAAAATCTATGCATTATTCCTGATCTATGTTATGAGGCCTTCCCAAAACAGTGCAGCCACACAGACTGTCCCACTTCCAGGCAATAACCATTGCTGCTTAACCATTTTATTTGTCTCCTCATTTAAACAAAGCTCCTGAAAGCAGGATCATGTTTCAAATTTTAATGTATACTTTAAAAAGGTAGCTTTTTCAGTTTTTTATTGAATATATTTTTCATTCCTTCCATTCTATATATATATATAATGATATAATGCAAATAAAATTCATCCCTATCATATCAATTTCTCACAGTAAATGTCATAAACTTAACTTGCTTATTTTAACGTGCCTATTTTAAGAAGTAGCTAGCTTACTCTAACACAAACCTGATCAATTCTGATTTAAAGGTAATATAATAAATCAAATAATTGTTAACACCAAAGAGAGTCAAGTGATCTGCCCTTGTTTTCACTACATATTTTCACTAAAGATAAGCAAATCTGCAGGGTAAAGCCATTACTAATTAAGAAAGTCTCATACTTCAAGAAAATAAATAGGCAATTAAATAGTAATCATACAGAATAAACAGCAATTACACAAATCACCTTGGACATTTGCCACTGATGTGTTTTTAGTTAGCCCCCATAATGTACAGCACAGCGCCGCTTGAGCTTTTGGTCTCAGAACTGATTTATTCTCTTAAATATCACTGAGGTTATCAAACAACTTTTATTCATGTGAGTTATGGTAATGACATTTATGTATTAAAAAATCAAAACTTAGAAATTAGTAAAGCACAAAAATCCTTAAGTACACATTTCATTAGTCATCAAACATAACTTCATCACATCCTGAAGCCTAACAAAAGTCTACCATACACTTGTGAGAAATGGGAGCGAAAAAAGCTAATAACATCTCACTACTATGAAAAAAGTTCTGACCTCACAGAACTCCTAAAGTACTCCAGGGAACTGCCACAGGCCCCCAGACTACACTTTGAGAACCAAAGGTATAGCACAAAGAATTTTAAAAACAAAGTAAAATAATGTTTAAATATAGTATGAAACTTGTTTTTTAATTAAGATTTTCTTTAAAACCGGAGAAAAAGTCAAGGTATAATTATTTATTTATTACACAAATATATTCCTTTTTTACAGGTAGAAAGACAAAGGGGAGATTTCAATGCCTTTAGGATATATAGGTAACATAAATTAGTGGAGTGAGCCTATAGAAGACAGACTACGGAAGGACATATAGTAAAAAAAAATAGATCCTGTTCCCCTTCTCAAGAAAGCAATGATTATTCAGCTCCAGCCATGTGAAATGTGTGGGCTCAGTGTTGACAGATACATTTCACTTTTTAAGAAAAGCCAGAATTTTTATGAAAAAAAAAACCACCTAATTTTCTAGTTGGGAAAAATAATTTAACATTTCATAAATATCATGTGAGCCAAATAAAGTGTGTCAGGGGGGCATTATTTTTTATCTCGGTATTATGACATTGGAACTTAAATTAGAAAAGAAAAAAATTCTTTAAGGTTAATCACATATTTAAAGTAAGGGGCTACCTGAATTTTTTTTAATCTGTTATGGTGGCTTTTAGACTGGAAATAGTTTCTGTTTAATTTTTTTTAAATGTGCCACACTAAATGAAGAAGAACTTATCCTGATTTGCAGATTCTAAGGTTAACATTTCAAAAGAAAATGAACATGGTCATTATTAAACCTGTTTCCCTGAACTTAAGAACAACACTTTTAAAAAAAGTCAGACACAAGTTGTTTAATCAGAATTGGTACATATATACATTATATATGTATATTATTTTACGTTTTTGAAATGTCTGAATTTTATAGTCACACTATCAAAAGAAAATACAATCTCAGAATAGGTTGATCACTTTAAAAATTAACTTACCAGAGCCTATAATGTTGATATTACCATATGACAACTTCATGATTCAACGTAAAGAACAACTGAAATCTTTCTGGTAACTTCTTGAAAGTATTTACATCACAAATTGTAAGAGACAATGACAAAATGAGACAGTCAAAAGCATTAAAATAGACTAGTAAAGAGCTCATAGAGAAGAATTATGCCCTTGGAACAACAAACAGAATCACACATTTAGAAAAATAATTATTAACTGAGAAGCTATAGTAGGAACACAAATGAAAGAAAAAGAATAAATTTGAAATTCATGACCTCAGACCAAAAATATACTTATATTTAGTTGTATATTCTAATATCAGGCTATTCTCTAGGAAAGTGAGCAACTAATTCCCGTTTAGGTTGTCCTACAAAAAGTACTAAGGAAACAAAACAATAAAAGAGTTGGGGGATAATCAATTGAAGTTTAAAAATTTCAGTAGTATATAACTATATCTTCAGTGAATTCTAAGAATTCATGGCATAGTAGCTAAGTGGCTGGATTCTGAAGTCAAACTTCATATAGACATGCCATGCATTGTCAATCACTCACTACACATCAGGGTGTCCAGTCTTTTGGCTCCGCTGGGCCACACTAGAAGGAGGAGAATGGTCTCGAGATACATGTAAAATAAACTAATGAGCTTAAAAAATAAGCAAAACTTTTAAAATGCTTTATGAAAGTTTATGAATTTTTTGGTCATATTCAAAGCTGTCCTGTGCCACATGCATCCTGCAGGCCACAGGTTAGACAAGCTTGCTATACATGATCTTTCTCCAGTTACACAGCACTCTGTGCCTCACTTTTCTCCAATGTAAAGTAGTGATAATAGCAGTACCCACCTTGAGAGATGTTGATAGGATGAATGGAGATTATATAAATACATATATATGTATATATGTATGCATATATATAGAGAGAGAGAGAGAGAGAGCTGAGAATAGAGTCTAACACATAGAAAGCCTAGCTATCACTATATTCATTGTTGTAAGGTAAGATGGAAAAAATGCTGAGATACTGATGCAGAAATTTGACCATAGCGAATGGAGATAAAGCATTAAGCAAAATGGTAGGTTATTATTGGCTCTTTCTGTCTCTTCATATAAATTTACCTCCCCTCAACCAGGACCTTCCCAAGTCTGGTCACTTGTTTTAAAATGACATCCTTCTACACTTCTGCCTTAAAGAGTAATTCCTTAAGAAAAAAAAAATTTTTCTTTTGATAGAGTCTCACTCCGTCACCAGGCTGAAGTGCAGTGGCACGATCTTGGCTCACTGCAACTGCCACCTCCTGGATTCCAGCAATTTCTCTGCCTCAGCCTCCCAAGTTGCTGGGACTACAGGTTCAAACCACCACACTCAGCTGATTATTTTTTGTATTTTAGTAGAGATGAGGTTTCTCCATGTTGGCCAGGATGGTCTTGATCTCCTGACCTCATGATCTGCCCGCCTCAGCCTCCAAAAGTGCTGGGATTACAGATGTGAGCCACCGAGCCCAGCCAAAATTTTTATATTTATATAGTCAACTAACTATTCAAAACTTAAGAGTGCTGCATAACAGCCCACCATCCATACCTACCTAACTGGCCCACCTATGTTGTTTCACATATTCTTCTTTTCTTCAATTCATTCTTAACTTCTATTTTCTATCCTATCACTTCAAGCTTACCTCATTATCACTCAATCGCCAGCACAATCTCTCCTCTCTATTACCTCCTCTATCTCCTTTTCTCATTTTCTGTCATGGTAAAAGTAAAAACTGGGTCACTACAGGAAGAAATGTGTATTGTTACCAAAGGCAATCAGAATAACAGAAGAAACATTAAGTTAAAAGCACCATGGCAAACAACCTTAGAATATGACTCAAACAATCCAATATAAGCTGCTGCTTCCCCATTTTTATAGTTTTTCTCAGGAAAAAGATACATACATTAATATATCCAAGCAAGAAGCCCAAATGCATAAAACCTTAATTATTGCTCAAGATTGATATCTGACTGACAAGAGAAGGAAATGCAATTAGTACAGGTCAGTAGAAAAAGCAGGCAAACGACAGAGTTATCAGCAACTTAACTTCCATCACTTCTAAATCAACTGTAACTACATGCCCGGTATTGATAATACCAATATAAGATTAGACAGAAGTCTCCAAATTCTTTTTACACGGGATTGCAACCATCTCCTCCAAGGATTTGCATAACAACACTGACCACCACACCTATGTACCAAGAGAATAAGTACCAAAATACCAAAGACCAAATGGGAGAAAGTCTTAATTATGTACCGCAGATATGTAGTATTCTACTTGTCTATTTCTATAGACATATGTGATCATATTAAATAAGGAAATTGGGGGAAAAAACAATGAAGAAAAAGGATCAAGATTTTGTACTCACACAACGGAAAATAAATATTCATAACTTGACAGAAGTAAAAGAGCAAATATTAGACATTTACGGTTTCCTGCATTTATAGTATGGTCTTTGATACATACTCTTCCACTTAAGACGTTTAAACACCTATGTTTAAGAATAAGTAAAGAAAAAACACATTCAGAAATATGCATGTATTATGAGAACTCAAGTATCCACCCTGACAGTTATTTGCTTAACCTGTTTTCATAAAGACAGCATACAGACCTCGATGAATGTTTCTCCTGTTATTCTTCTACCTTACCCAATACTTTTTTTCCCCTTACCAGCTTATTTTACGGTCAGAGGTTAAACTGCTAACCCTTCACCTTCCAGGAAAGTTTTTTTTCCTCTCTCATAAAAGGTTTTTCACAGTGTGCAGCAGTCGGATTAGCTCTTCTCTTTGAGAACAAAAGCTCTGTCTTTGTCTTCGTTGTTTGGGCATGGAGCCCCTACATCAGAGGAAGCTGCTCCTACTCAACTTGCACAATAATGATATTGTGAGGCCCCACGAAAGCCTGGCCTCTCAGTGTCTAGACTCTCATCCAACCAGCTAGCCAAAGAGAAAATCCTGTCAAGCACTCAGCTGAAAATTAACTAAGGTATCCTGTTGAGAACCTGATGAAGATGTTATTTGACCATACGGTAAAACTTTCTATTGTTGAACATAAAGATAAGAGAAAAACTTTTAGAACTCAATGCTTTAACAATCTTGGTCACCAATTCGCACATGGGTCAGTAAATGTATTTTACCAATATACAACCCCTTCCTCTATACGTGCTCTTAAAATAATACACAGGCTTATTTATGACACTCTAAGCTCTTACATTTAAAAATCTGTGCAACTAAGAGATACATTCAAAAAAATATTAGAAATTATATGTTATTTGCAGTTTTTACATTGAAGATTTATCATTAGAAATTCTGCTACTGCATTTGTCACTGAAGTACCCAATCGAAATGCAGAAGTCAAAATAAAACTGTCATCTTTTCATATTCCTGAATAAGCTTTAAAATATTAAGCGAGAGAAATAGTAAACTAAAAAGTCAATAATTGATTAAAGCTTAGAAATGAAAACAAGAGTACATAAACCAAACCATTCTTATAAAAACTGTTTGTAAATTTTTTAACCTGTAAAAAGTTAAATACATTAGATAAATTTAAATTTGGTCATATGATAGCAATAAAAGATGATTCTCTCATGTGCATTAAGTTATGGGTGAGTTCATAAATATTTACAAGAGGTTTTGGGGACTGTTGCAGTTTTTGAAATATCATCTTATAATTTACAACAATAGCAACAACTGTTATTGAAAATTATTAAGTGAAAACTATATATGATTATAACCACATTTAATAAGCTCATATTGAAATCTAAAAAGGAATGCACAAAAATAGATGTTCTGTGTTATTGGTACGAAAAGAATAATCTTTTTCCTTCCTTCAAAATTTACTGCAATACATTAGTAATTTAAAAAATAAACTTTACAGAATAATCGGAATAGTTCAAAACCCTACAAATGGATAGCAATTAATGAAAGATAAGGGTGTCACTACTGTATATAGGATTCAGAATTAAAGAATAAATCATTTTTACATACTCGATACTATAATATAAATTGATTCTCCAAATTTTAGGAGAAACACAAATGTACTTTCTTTTTTAACCTACAACAAACTTAACAAAAGAAATACATTTATTCTTAAGGGGGAAAAAAAATCAATGCTGAACCATAGCAGATGCCTGGCATGGAGGGGTATTTTTCTACTCTTTTAATAGACACATGAAAATCTAAGCCTGGCAAACACTTAAATTGAAGACTCTGGAACACAGTGAATAAGTGACATCTGGCAGAAAATGTTAAATATTTCATTCCTACTTCTGCAGAAAAGAAAAGGACTGAAATTTAACAAAATTTAAAAGAACATTTCATATAACACTGATATGCAATTATAAAAAATAGATTTGGTTAAATCTATATGATATATGAATAACACGAAAGTTAACAGAATGGTATAAAAACCAATACTGAATAGGTCCATCATGCCTACCATTAAGTATTTTTTATATCAATGAATTATGTAATCTGTAAAATGATTATAGAACCAAGTACATCCACCCAAATATTGGAGGCAGAATGGCTTTATTCTACTGTATGTTCTACAAAACACCTCTGCTTCAAGTAGTTTTATTTCCTCAGAATGCTACTCAGCTTCACAGAAAGGGTATAAAATATCTTGGCTTTTGGCAATTAAACTAAATAAAATTTAAAAGTCCAAGACCTGAGAGTATTCACTGTTAAATTACTTTGAAGCTACTTCTCTTGGGTTCTCTGGCAGTTTCCTTTGTTAGAAGAAGTGATCTAAATTTTGCTTAACAGTTTATGTTCACTTTAATGTGAACTATGAAACATTCCATTTACAAAGCATTCTTAGACTTTCGTGAATTTTAAAGGGTATTATTCGAAAACACAGGCTGGGGCCATCTTTTCTCCTCCCGTGGAGCCGCCGCCATGAAGGTCGAGCTGTGCGGTTTCAGTGGGTACAAGATTCCTGGACACGGAGGTGCTACGCCAGGACCGAAGGAAAGGTTTTCCAGTTTCTTAATGCAAAATGCAAGTCAGCCTTCCTTTCCAAGAGGAATCCTCAGCAGATAAACCGGACTGTCTTCTATGGAAGGAAGCATAAAATGAGACAGTCGGAAGAAGTTCAAAAGAAAAGAACCCGCGGAGCAGTCAAATTCCAGAGGGTCATTACTGGTGCATCTCTTGCTAATATCATGGCCAAAAGAAATCAGAAACCTGAAGTTAGTAAGGCACAAGAAGAACAAGCTATCAGGGCTTCTAAGGAAGCAAAAAAGGATAAGCAGGTATCTAAAAAGACTGCAATGGCTGCTGCTAAGGCACTTCCAAAGACAGCAGCTAAGCAAATGATTGTGAAGCCTGTGCAAGTTTCGGCTCCCGAGTTGGTGGAAAACGCTAAGCTGGCAGATTAGATTTTTAAATAAAGATCGGACTATTTTAAAAAGAAGAAGAAAAAAGTATAGATTGGAATACTGCCAAACAACTCACTCTTTTGATTTCAAGCTCAATTTTAAGCTGCAGATTAAAACTTTTGTTGAATTTGAATAGCAAACATTTTGAGTCAGCGAGAACATAAGATCTACTCATTTAGAGATTTAATATTCAATGATTTGCCCAAACTATCTATCTATCTATCTATCTATCTATCTATCTATCTATCTGAGACAGGATCTTGCTTTCTTGCACAGGCTGGAGTACAGAGGCAAAACCATAGCTTACGGCAGCCTCAGTTGAGGCTGCCTCAGCCTCCCAAATAGCTAAGACCGCAGGTATATGCCACCACACCCAGCTAATTAAAATAACAATAATAATTTGTACAGACAGGGTCTCACTATATTGTCCAGACTGGTCTTGAACTCCTGGCCTGAAGCACTCTTCACACCTTGGCATCACAAAGCACTAGGATTAATTATGAGCCACCGTGTCCAGCTTCTTATATTTTAAATTAAAATGATAAATTCTATGTATATCACAAAAATCATCCCTGAGATAATCTGTGATAAATTTGTTACTGTAACCTTTCTTTACAAATGCCTATACTCTATTCCTGTTCTACTGGAAAGGCTATTCATTAGCTCCAAGGCTCTACTGATCTTCCTTGCCTTTCAGTTAGGACTGCTATCCATATTTCTGTTATACCACTCATTCTGAAAACAGCTTCCTCTTTATTTGTGACTGCTGAGGACACACCCAGCATCTATTCTTTCGAATGTCTTTGTGAGACTACTTCATAAAGGAGATTTCTCAATGCTAGCATTCATGCAAGGCATCAAAAATCTGTTGCTATTGCTCTTGAAAATCACCCAAGACTGCCTAATTGCACATAAAAAGGCCTATTCTGAGTCTAAATCATCCTTCATCTTTTTTGTCATATGATAATATCATCCACCATAAGCCCTCATCCACTCCTAACTCTATCCTAGTTCTTCCAATTGCACACATAGGGTACATCAGAGACACTGCTCCTTTCCTACCATCAGTTATAAGACAGCACACCAATAAACCTGACTGCAATATCTCCAACGGAATAGTGGGAAAGTCTTCCGCCCCATGAATCCAAGCACCACCATAGCCCTATTCCTCTGGACAATGGCTTCAAACTTTCAGATGCGTAACAATCACCTGGGAAACTTTTCCCAACATGTAGATTACACTCTTATTTCCATCCTTAAAATAATCAAAGTATGTCCCAGGAACCTGATTTCTCAATAAATCATCTATGGCTCTAAAACACATACTGACAAACAGTACATAGCAGCTCTTTTTAAACACTCGTGGACATCCATCTAGCAACATTAAACACTCCATCTTGGAGGTATGACAAGACTCCACAGGATCCTGAAAACAAGGAGATTTTTGCACTCTATTAGACTTGTTTTACTAAGTATTATAGGAAGCTCTCCTACTTAATCCTTACAGCGAAAATGCAGCAATGATCCTTATTTATTTTTGGGCCTTTTCTTAGGTAAACAAGAAAAACATTCACATAGCTATCCAGAATCTAATTTACTAAAAGTAGCAGAGCCCCTAGATTCTAATTATGTAAAAACTGGTAAATTTAAAAATAAATACTTAGAATTATGCTTCAAAAAAGAAAAACAAGTAAAGCTATGGCTTCCTGTTGAGTTACAAATCTCTCTTTGGTCTCATAGAACTGTGTTTTCCAATCACCTTGAGGAAATAAAGCATTACTTACTTCTAAGACAAAATTTCCAGTATTATTCTAAAATTGCATTAGAAAGGAGAGGGCAAGATAGATATCTTACCTGGAAAGCAGATAACCCAGCTCATTTTCTTCCAGCAATTTTTGATTACGTCCTAATGTCCTATAATTTATTTTCCCTATTTACTTTCCCCTTCAACTGTATTTATACAGGTTTCTCTGACACCTGTTTATTACATTTCTTCTCCTCTCTGCACTGATCCAGTATGAATTAGCATGCATGAGTACCCTCTATTATATAACAGGACAAAAGGGAGTGTCTAATATTATAATTGGAGAAGAAGCTTTCATGGCAAACTATTTAGAAATAATGCCGAATTTTGAATTTAAGGTGCTATTTTTCTCATTTAAACATAGAAATATTTTCCTTTCAAAGCCAAAAAATAACATTAAATCCACATAGAGAATGATGGCCCAGTCACAACAATTCCCTCTTTTCTGGGAGCTATATCCTATCCTCAGGGTGGGTTTTTAGTAGGTACATCCACAATTGGTGAATGTGACCTCAGGCTAGAGCTGAATAAGTCAAACTCACAACGTAATCTGGGCCAGTTTCTAATTCATAGAAGACTTGGGTTACAAACTAGACAACACAACATGGAAGATGCTGACACAGAATCACTTTTTGGCAGAAAGATGACAGAAGAACCTCAGAACTTCCATGGTAACTATATTCACAAAAATTACTTACACATGTACTTAATTACCATAGCTTTTCCTCTAACCATAGATACAGAATGTTAAAGCAGCACTTTTACATCCATAAAAAAGACATCTGCTTCCAGCCAAGAGAAAGTACAAACTGTATTTGCTCTCTCCCCCTTTAAAACTAAAAATCTAAAAAAATACATTAAACAATTTTCAGACATCAGCAAACGCAGGACAGTGATCCCTGACAGAGATAAAACAAATAAGATAAGCCTTACAATTGGTCTTATCATCTGGAGTTTCCAGCACGTGGCATGAGGTGGGAGAAACCCAGGCAGTGCCCGGTGGTCTCCCTGAGATGAGGTTGGAAGCCCAAATCATCTGGAGTCCACAAAGAGAACAGGAGAAGCAGCTTCACAGGAATAGGGCTCTGGAGAGCTGCAGAAGTTTCACCACCAACCCCCACCAAGACTTTAGTGGACTGATGATCAGTGCACACATATGAAGAAACTACCCAACATTGAGGAAAGAACCACACCTCCACTCCAAAAAAAAAAGGGGAAAAATCCCAGGATCAGCTGACGTTCACACCACCCAGAGTGGGAAAAGCTCATCATCAACAGAGTATTTGTACAGTACTCAGAGGGTAATATCTTAGCAGTGGGAAAAATGAGCACTAGACTGAAGGCGACTCTGGCTTCACCTACCAAAGCCTAAAAGCAAGCCTCAAATGTTCAAACTGTTTCCAAATAACTTAACTGTAATCTAAAACAAAAACCTTCAGTGTATAGGGGACTTTTAGGAGGAGAAACCATATGCTGTACCACAAAGCAAGTCCTAATTGATTTAAAAGGATTCAAGTCATACCACAATATTCTCTGGAATTATATTAGCAAAATATGACAGAAATATCACAGGAAAATCCCCAAATATTTGTAACCTAAATAACATACTTCTAAATAACCCAACAGTCAAAGAAGAAGTCAAAAGGAAATGAAAATCTAAATGAAATATAATTGAAAACAAAAACAAAAGTGATAAACTGATCAAAAGGAAGGACTATTCTGGGTGAAAGACAATGTTAGTTAAAAGCATGAAAGCCGTCTCTACTAAAAATACAAAACATTAGCTGGGCATGATGGCGCCTGCCTGTAATCCCAGCTACTCAGGAGGCTGAGGCAGGAGAATTGCCT